GAAGTTTCTCAACTTACTCTTGGAGATGCCCATAGGATGTACTTCCTCAATGCAGTGACACAATTTCGTTCAACCCTGTGAATGTGAACTTCCTCGAGACTGCCTTCTGAACTACAACTCAACTACAACTCAACGTCTGAACAATGTAACATCTTCATTGCTTGCTGGAAGCAATGCATAATGGGAAATGTAGTCTTGAGAAATAGAGATTGCAGCAGGGAAAAGATGCAGAGCACACTGGGAATCCAGGAAGTTGTTGGAAGTGATGGCAGCACTCACTACATAAAAGGGATATTTTTCAAGTTGCTTTGATTGCAGTATAAAAAAAAACCCAACAATAGTATGTATTCCTATTACAATGCTGATGTTCTAACAGAATAGTATACACTGCGACTTTACAACTTCTTTAAGGGCCTGTTCACACAACGTCCGTTTTCTGTGCTGACCTGATCAGTACGCTCCTGCACTAAAAATGCATCCCAATGTATCCCTATGTGTTTTATGGGCTACAGTTCTCACGTGCGCAGTCCGTTCAGGTTACGACAGAAAAAATACTGCATGTCACATTTTGTACGGTCCTCTCAGGAAACGCACAAACGCGGCAAAAACACAACGGAAACGGAACGCAATGCAGCTACGCAAAAAAAAAAAAAAGATAGACAGACAGGTTGAGGAAGAGGAAAAGAAATGAACTGCAAACGCAAATCCTCATATAAACTCAAGAACTGACCCTTGGAGTCCCAGAGCCTCAAGATCGGGTGTACCCAATAACGACGTCTCCTGCGGGCTCGTTCTCTGCAGATTGCTGTAGCCAGCACCATCAACATGCCTGCAAACATGTGATACATGTCTGATCACCAGCTTTACATACACAAAGAGAAGTAGATGTTACGAGAGGGCGGAAGTGACCTCAGAGGAAGAATCTGCATACTGACAGCCCCATGGCTTGAAAAAAGAAAACGCGTCAAAAACGCACTGCATGACTAGCACCGCGTCTGCAGATCCGGAGCTGATCAGGACCTGAAAATCATGTGAACAGGCCCTAACTGAATCTGTCTAAAAAGCCAGCTTGTTGTCAATCTTTTTTTATAACTGCTTCATCCAGACTGGAATAGGAATGGCCAGGACTCCAATTAGCAGGGCTCGAAAAATCCACTCGTCCACGGTGAAGAGGACGGTGGAGCCCGACGAGTAGCTTCCCGGCCGGCCGTTGTAATTACACGGCCGGCCGGGAGAAGGCGAGTATAACTTTTTATTTTAGCTCCCTAGACAAAAATTAGCACTTAACCCTTACAGTACAGGGATAGCCCTGTTAACATAAATTGCAAGGCTATAGTCCGGTCATGCTGACTGGTGAAATTTTTTACTGACTGGTGGGACACCGTCAAATTTTTCAAGCCCTGCCAATTAGAGTTATGTTGCTTTGCACAATGCTGTCATTCATTTGATCATACTAGAAGAAGGAGAGCGCAGAGTGATGACCTCACTAGTATTGTGCTTCATCTTCCAGTCATGGTGAATAAGCTAATTGTTTAACTGGTAAGTGAAAAGTCAAGTCCCTGTCCTGAATGTACTGTCCAGCAGGGGTGGTGTCTGGAGGAGTGCTTTTCACTCACCTCATAGTTCTAGCCGACCTGTGACAATGAGACTGTCACAGGTCGGCTCAGAGTTCTCCTTTAAAATGGACCTATGCTATAGATTTATTTTTAGCCCCCTTCACAACCGATGCGTCATAGAAACACATTTAAACAATGAACACATTCACATCTATGTGCTGTGTTGGGTTTGCAAAAATGAGGCATGTCTTTTTTTTTTCTATGTATTGTCATGCGCTTTGAGGCCCACAGGAGTCTATGGCAATGCATGTAACGTGCATTTGTATTTGTTTTTAGCTCCTAGTAAAAAAAACAGATGAGCACTCACTGAAGTCCAAGGTTTTTTTAATAGTATGATCATCTGAAATAACCTTTTTTATCTGGTTACCTTTTTATAGACATCTGGTTACATGAGAATAATTTTCTCATCATGTTCTCTGAGCTGATTATACATGACCCAAAACTGCCCTCTCTGCTCTCTTATCTGCAACCACTGGGTACATCTCGTATCCACGCCTCTTATGTTCCCTCTCTTCCTCATGTTGAATAAAGACAGCGCCAGTTGCTGCGGCAAATGCAAAAATAGGTGTAAATGAAAACATTGTTTCCAGATCTAGGAAGTAGATCCTTCCCAAAGCCCGCAACAGTTGTGTACCTGCATGGGGCATGAAGAGGCATATTAGCACAATCAAATCAAAAATGCACTGCAACCCATAACGAAAACCTGTAAACATGATATGAAGGGGAATTGTGATGTGTAGTGGGGGCCTGTAGGGATGTGGAAGAAGGAGGCTCTGATATGATAGGAGGGAGTTTCTGATTTGAAGGGGGGACTCTGATGTGAAGTTGGCTCTTAATTTTAAGGGGTCTCCTGATTTGTGAAGAGTAGAACCCCACTTTTTTTTATTGTTTTTGCATTAAAGTGACATTAAACCCTCAGATTTTTGAGCATAAACCAGTACTGTGTGCCTTACTGTAATCCATGGTTGTTTCCCTTCTCTTTGCTGCTCTTCCTTTTAAATCTGTATCTGTTCTCATGCTCTGCAGAACCTCTGTTTTGCAGCAGACTGCCTTGTCTCAGGAATGGATACACGGTGTCTGTGTATCCGTTTGTATAGGCTTGTAATCTGAGCCAGCACTACAGGAAGAGGCCCTGAGCTGAAAAGGGAAGTTCTGCCCAGCATGAGAAGACATGAGGATTTAAAAGGAAGAGCAGCAAAGAGAAGGGAAACAACCATGGATTACAGTAAGGCGCACATTACAGTATTGGTTTATGTTAAAAAATCTGAGGGTTTAATGTCACTTTAAGTCAACATCCATGAATCAGCAAAAACATTTGTGTTTTTTGCTGATTTACTGATCTTGATTATAACATACAGAGCAGGTAAATACTCCCTGGTGATTTGTACCATGTTTTTGAGTCCATAATACTACCCATCATGTTTAAGCCCTGACGGAGCTGTTCTTTGCTGTCGTTTATGCTAGGGATGCACAGGTACTTTTCGAGTACCAGTGCAGATACTTGGCATTTTCATGAGAACTACCAGGGTTGCAGCGGTTGCAGCTGAGACCTGGCTCTGGCACTTCACCATTGTCCTGAAATCATTAGTCTGAATTGTTTTAGAAAAACTGTCACATGACAAACAAAAATGTATCAGTACTCGTACTTGTAAGTACTCGGCAAGTACCAGTACTCATACTCGCAAAACTGGTATCGGTGCATCCCTTTATTAAAACAGAGATGTACAAATCCCAGGAGCTCCGTGTGCTGCTTACAAATGACAACTGCCTCCTAATTTTTGAATTTTTCTCTGGTGTAGTCTTCGAGCTCAAAAGTATCGGTACATGTACTCGTACTTGTACCGAGTACTGTACTTGGTATCTGTGCAACCCTAGTTTATGCCATTATGAAACATTTGTGGACTTTCATTCTGTCTTGTTTGGTGTTCTCACTGGACTGTATATATGCATATATCTGAGTTAAATTAGAGGCTTAAACTAACAGATTTTTTTTTTTTCTTTATATGCTGTGGACTTGCTGTATAAAGCCCTTCCTGCATTGGACTGCAGGATAAACCTGCTTGGACTGTTTGTTCCTGGGTGTCCCTGTCTCATGGATGGGTTGCTCCTACCAGCTGAGCTTCTCCCCTTATAACACCTGCTGCTTCCTAGTGTAACATTACTGGTTTCTTTGTGTGCCCCTTGCTTACAGAACAGAGCCAATGATCCTGATTCCCTGTCCAAAGAGGAGGCCGGAGGCAGAGAGGTGACAGACAAAGCTGAACTGCTGAGTCGGGAAGATCAATAGCTGAATGCATATTTAACCCCAAAAACTAAAATTTCAAATATTGCAGTTTACCAATCTTTCGATGTGGTGGTTGCATAAGTTTTTTTCTATTGGCTTCTTTGCTTTTTTTGTTATTTTTTCTATTTAACCTGGTGATTCTGCCAATAACATACTTCTTGTCCTAGATTGACAGCTCACTGTACTGCATCTATGGATGAGAAGCATTGTCAGCTTGGGCTGCTCTTTTGGATTTTAATTACATACACATCTCTTCCCCCCCATCTCCATTACATAGTTGGGTGTTGATTTTTGTAGTTTAGAGAATATAACTGAGAAAGCTGATAACATTGTTTGTGGTTTCGGTCCACAGGAAGTTACAAGGACGCAACATTTATAACAGGGTCAACATATATGTTTGCAGAAAATGTGCTTGGACTTAAAAATGAAAACCATAGCCCAGATAGCTAAAGACTTGTAGTCTGCAATATACATTTTGACCCTGTCATAAATCTGGTGTATGCTAAATACACAACTAAGATACATAATTTACATGATGTACAAAAGACATCTATTTTGCATGCATTAGGATTCAGCCAATTTTGTGATTTGCACACATTGCACAGCCAGATAAAGATCACGTGTAGTACCAGATTCAAATATATTAAAACTTGATAACAAAAATCTAATATTTTTTGTGCTTGCAGAAAATGTACTTGTTGTAATGGAGTTTTGCTTCATGTATAGTACGATTTCAGTGCTTTGAGTGTTTGTGGAGAACTAAAGCAGAAGCAAAGTTTTTCATAGTTTTGTTTTTATGTAATCATGTTCTTGGTAGTAAGAACTATAATTTTAAAGCTGCACATTATTGCATAAAGCTGTGTTTATTTCCAAATTGCTTGTAAATAATACCTTCTCGCCTTTCCAGTTGTATTAGGATTGGCCAGATTTTCTGCTTCCAAAAGTGTAGAGGCTTGTAAAAGTGACTGTGGTGCATGTCAATATGAACAGATTAGGTGTGACTCGATCGTCCCATTATTAATTTTGGATGGCTGGGAATTATGAATAATATATATACATATACATACCGATGTGCTTATGTTGATTTCTTGTTCACACAGGTTTTCTCTGTTGCTGTTGGATTTGGAAGAATATTTTTTTGAGCAGCACATAGCCTACCATATTTCTCAAGGATCAAATTCATCAGAAAGGTAAAATAAAGACATATTACATTTACTTATTGTAACGGATCCCGGCGGCTCACCCGCGTGACGTCACGGACACGCCGCGGGGTGTCGCTCCCGGGCCGATGACGTCACACGGCTCCGCCCCCTCCTCCTCTTAAACCGGAAGATTTCAGATGTCTGGCGTTCCAGCAATCAATGCGGACGCCAGACCTTCACTGGCCTCGCAGCACAACGGAGCCTCTACACAAACCCTCTCCTCACAGAGCCCTCACATCCCCACGCAGATCGAGCAGATCGTTGGCAAGTCCCTGCTGCCACTTCATCCAATTGCGGGCTCACCAGTCTAAGGAGAGGATCAGTTCCCTGAGAACAGCTAACAGCAAGTATACTGTGTAGCTCTCTATTGCCATCCGGTGGTAACTCATAGGCGCTGCTTGCTGTACAACTGAGAACTGTGAACTGTTATTGAAACTGCTACACTCTCAGAACTTTGTTGATAATTCCTACCAATACTGTATTGTGACAAGAACAGTCAGTGATTGTGGAGATCGATCTTGTCATTACACCAACGGGTCCGCTTAACAGGTGCATTGAGGGAGACTCCTCAACTTGATTAACCTCGCTGTAATTAATTGTTCCACTGTTACTATCACTCTTTTGGGAGATTGGTGCAATGATGCGCAAAACCTAGTGGCGAGATTCATTGCTGCACAAGTACCCTTGGTCTTGGGTGTGTGACGCGGAACGGGGTTCCGCAGCTGAGCTCCATAGCCTCCCTTAGTTAGGGTATTATAGATATGTAGTTATTAAAGAGGAACTTTACCCATATCTTTAAAATTACCACAAAGACACCCTTTAGAAATGTTTAGTAATATAATCTACAAAAAGATACTTCTAGATAATTGTCGGCTTTTTATTCTTTGCATACTCTATTTTTCTTTTCCTCCCTATTCTTCTCACGGTGGCCATTTTTATCAAGCACAGATTAATCCATCTCTCTACTTCCTGGAACTCTGGCACATGTGACTAGGACTTGTGACCATGCACATCATCTCAGGGGAGAAAAATGCCTTTCCCTGAGATCTCATGAGATTACAAATAAGCTTTCCCAGCAATGCTCTGCAGATGTAACCTTCCCAGGATGCAACGCTTGGGCACATTACATCACTAATGCCCAAGAGCACCAGGAAGTAGAAAAACAGTAATTGTAAATAAGTTGTTTTTTTTTTGTGAAAGGGGGTAAAGGTCCGCTTTAAGATAGGAGATGATCCTTGTAGCTCTGCACCAGTCATACCACAGTCTGTTGATAACCATGTATACAACCAGACATCTATCACTAATGTGCCCAGAAGCTGTTGGCAGTAGTGATGAATTTCAGCCTTTGGCATGTCATAGAGTAAAGCAAAAAAAGTGAGAAAAGAGATAAATTGCTTATTCTACAAAGATATTTTGAAATCGTCTGTACAGATTTGTTGGTAACCCTAGAGAAGATTATAATAATTGGATCATTGTGATTTTCAAACTGTTTTCTGTAATTAGTATCACATGTTTTCAATTTTTTGATCAGCCAGTCAATCTGTATAAATGGAAAAAAGTTTGCTATCATTGTGTGCACCACACTGAACATGGACCAGAAAAAGTAAGAGAACTGTCTTGAGAAGATCAGAAAGAAAATGTATAGACCAGCATGTCAAAGGTAGCGCTATAAGACCACCTCCAAGCAGCTTGTTGTTCCTGTGACTTCAGTCGAAAATAAAGTCCATGAGAGTGTAGCTTACCTCCCTCGATGTGGCCGCAAGAGGAAAATTGACCCCAGATTATACAGAAGGACAGTGTGGTAGACAAAGAGCCACAGGAAACCTAAAAAGTGATACAAGCTGAACTCAAAGGTCAATGTACTTCGGTGTTTGACTGCACCATCTGTCACGTTTTGAGTGACAGTGGACTCAAACAAAGACAGTATTAAAAGAAAAACATAAAAAAGCCAGGCTAGAATTTGTTAAAAATGCTTATTGACAATCTGCAGTGTTCTTTGGACAGCTGAGACAAAACTGGAGATTTTTGGCATGTCGCATCAGGGTTATCTTTCATGGAGGAAAAAATAAATATTTCAAAGAATAGAATATCATATCTACTGTGCAGCATGGGGGAGGCATGGTTTTATTTAAGGGTCTGACTGTGTTTGGCACAGGATGCCTTCAATCTGTGCATGGCACAATTAAATGTCAAGACTATAAAAGAATTCTAGAGCAAAAACATACTGCTCTGTGTTTGAAAGCTGTCTCAGTTACAGATCATGGGTCCTCCAACAGGATAATGACCCAAAACACAGCTTAAAAAAGTGGCCCTCTAAAAGCACCCTTCAAACCTGAGACACCTGAAGTTCATGCTCAAACTACCTGTTGACAGGTACTTTCAATTCTCATTGAGCGCTACAAAAATTGCTTGTTTGCAGTGATTGCCTCCAAAGATTGGGCAACAAAATATTAGGTCAAGGGTCCCATTATTGTTTTTGTTCATGTCATTTTATTGTTTTTCCATTTCATCTGTTGATTTAAAAATAAAAAGCAAAGTTTGTTTCTATTAGCTATGGAATAAACAGTGATGGATGCCAATTACTTTGGTCGGCTTCACAACACAGAGAAAATCTGTGGGTTCAATTTGTTTTCGTGGAAGAGTACCAACACATTTGTCCACTTCTGTATACACTGTATTTGATAAACTCAGTATGTTTACATGTTTTACTGATGAGATGTTTACCCCAATTTCTTTTAGTTGGACATGTACAGTATGTTGTCAAGTGGATAATTGAAAGCTGATTTACTTTTTAAAATGGATTCACCAGCCTCTGGGTGGATTGTGAATTTAAACTGTATCCAAAGGCAAAACTCATTCTTAGATTAAAGAAGAGTTAAACCCCCTATCTTTTTATTTTTGCTGCGTTCGGCTGGTAAGATTTCCCTTCAGAGAAAAAAAATATAATTTCAAAGTGAGGGAAAATCCCCTCTACAGTGGGGGCGCAAACAGCCTAAAAGGCTGACCCGTTTTCTGTTTCTGCTCTTATTTTACATTAAAAGTTCCTGTGGAACCTTGAACTTTCACTTGTCATTTTAATTTTGTTGCAGCTTTCATGTACTGGAACTAAACAAACCACTGACATCTTGGAAATTGCCACACCTTCTCATTTATATCTGTGTAAATATGCTTTTGAACTAGGTTTGCCTGATCTTTTAACTGCTATCTCACAGTTTAGGCAAGGGTAAGAAGTTTCCTTGAAGACAGCTTTTAGGAAATGATTTCAGGAAGTGAGAGAACAGCGAAGGTTGCCTAAATAATTTGAGTCTACAATTAGAGGAAGTAATAACAATCGGCACAGATAATCTGACGTGTCTTGGAATGATTGTGGCTTTCATAAACACATTATGGGTATTTATTTTTTTTATACGGGAAACAGACTTGTACAAAGTTATTCAAATGTTGTAGCAATAAAATACAAATCCCTTTTAAAATTAATATTTAGTAGATGTACTTTTTGAAGCAATTACAGCATTGAGTATGTGTGGCTAGGTGTCTGTCCCATTTGCACATCTGAACATATATTTTTTCTCTCTTCCTGTTTACAAAACAATTCCAGGTTGGTTAAATTGCATGGGTATATTGAGTGTACAGCCTTTTAAAGTCCTTTAACAAATATATCTCAAACCTTGTCTCAAAATATCACCCTAACCGTCCACTCCGCTCTTCCAAAGACCTCCTGCTTTCTAGCTTCCTTGTCAACTCCTCCCATACCCGCCTCCAGGACTTCTCTAGAGTCTCTCACATCCTCTGGAGCTGTTTACCCCAACCTGTCCGTCTGTCTCCCACCTTGACTGCCTTTAGGCGTTCCCTAAAGACTCCTCTCTTCAGGGAAGCCTATCCCACCTCAACCTAACCACTGAACCATCACGTTCTAAAACAATTAATCTCCTCATGAATCACTTCTCCCTCCCTTTTAGATTGTAAGCCCTCAGGGGCAGGGCCCTCCTTACCATCTTGTCTTGAATTGTATTGTGATTGTAATGTCTTCCTTATATTGTAAAGCGCTGCGAAAACTGTTGGCGCTATACAAATCCTGTATAATAATAATACATTCTTATTGGACTATGTCTTGGTTATTCCAGGATATGAATAATGTTATTTTTAAGCCAATTTTAGCTTTAAATGTAACCTTCAATATCCAATATGGACTCAAAGCCACTGTATCTAGGATTGCAATACAATTTTTTTTATTTTTTTGGAAATCAATTAAAAAATTTTTTTTTTCCACCCTCTCCCCGGAGATTACCTTTTAACTGTAGGGATATTCATTGACATTGATTGCAATCACCTGTTCATTCTTCATGGTGTAGAGTATACTATAATAATGATTCACCAGAAGCTGGACCATTCAATACAAGTGGTTTTTTGTACTACAATAAATTGCCATCACAGAGATGATCAACCTTTAAAAGAGAACTAGGGGGTAAACTCTTTATACCATAGTTCTCTTTAGGGTCATGAGAGGACATATACTAACGTCCTCCTGTGACCCAAAGCTCAGTATATAGCGGGATATTGCCCACCATATACTAATAGCGCCGCAGCTGGGACAGATCCCCACAATACTGTCGAGATCCACCCACCTGGCTGATTGACAGCTGGCTCTGCCTATCTAGAGCACTGATTGGAGGAATGGATGAGGGAGGGGGTAATCTTTGTGGGGAGCGGTGACTGACAGTCACTTCTCTCTGCAGGGAGATGTTTAGAAAGTGAGCGAGCGACGTTATGTTTTTGCTCCCTTCCCGATTTTATTAGAGCTGACGTGTGACAGTTTCATTGTCACAGGTCGGCTCTAACTATGAGCATGAGTGAAAATCACTCACCTCATAGTTCTCCGTTAACTAAACTGACTGAAAAATAATTGTCTGCACCAGTGATAATTTAGGCCTGTCATATTAAAGGGGGTGTTTATTTATGCAGTTCGTTATTTTGTGGGGGGTTTTTTGTCATTTAAGTTACTTTACAAAATCTGTTTTACCTTGGCCATTAAGGCACAGAGACAGATTTTGTATTTTGGTGCTACCATACAGAAAAATTAACAAGGTGACAACAGGCATTTATTATGCAATGTTTAGAATAATGTTGTAAATGATTAATGTCAACCTTTATTGCAGACTTTTACCTTTTCAAATTAACATGACTTTTTTTTTTTTTTCTTCTCAATAGAAAAACAAGTGGATCCCTCAAAATATGTTCAAAATCTCTTATTTTTGAACCTGATCAAATTGATCTACCCATAATTAAGGTGAGCAGTCAATAGCACTGTTTGTTATACTGCTTCTCTTAGCTGGCAGATCATGGCAGGCCGTAAATGTAATTTTATTCCTTTTAACATTTTTTTTTGGAACATTTCCTGTACTAACAGTTGTAATCTGCAATAACATTTGCAGAATACTGTGGCAAATACTTTAAAAAATTAGGTTGTCAAAGAGGTTTGTCGGTGATCTTTCATCAATCATACACACCTAATACATTGAGTTAGTGATGGAATCTTCATTGTAATGGACAAAATGGAATTAGTATAAGACTTTCTGTTGAAACAAGTACACAAAGCCTTAAGTTTTTATTTGGTTTGTTACAGATTACATTGCGGGATTGCACAAAGATTGAAGTAGAAGATGAAGAGAATCTCTTCAGCAAGTATGTAATTTTAGTACATGATTAATAATAATTTATTTCTCGAAGTAGCTAGACTTATCATGGTCTAGAAAGTGCCTAAGATAACGGCATTAAGGTGACAGCACCATGATTTCTGTGTTGGTCTTTCTATCAATCCCTGTCTGCTGGTGGAGCTCCTTGAGTCATAGTCCACATCCTCTATTACCCAATGTGACTCTGGTATTTGACAGTGGAGTCAAATGAAGGCTATAATGCTGTGAAGGCCAAGGCCTTATCTTGATCTTGGAGAGATGTCAAGGCCCTCTGTACAGCCAAAATTACTCCCAAGAGAATACAGAAATAAGTTTTAAAGTACTATAGATCCAACTCAATCACAAGGGTCCTATTTATAAAGTATGGGTATGGTTTTTCCTAATTGCAAATGTAATTCTCAACATTTATTTATTTAATATGCAGATTTCATTAAAAGAAAACCTAGTGATGATGCCATGAATGTCCTTGTTCAGGAACTTTCTGTGACAAATGTCTCCCAGTTTTGCTCATGTTTTATCCTATCACATGAGCCCTTGATGGAGACTACTAGCGTTGAAGACACACATTGCACAGGCATGGTTTACTATCAGGGAGCCAGTTTAGAGCAATGATGTAGAGCAGCCACCGGAGTGAGTTCATGTAGACAGGAGTGCCTGAAGATGATCAACGGCAACGAAATGCAAAAACGTGACAAAAAAACCTTGGCAGTCGTTTTGGATACACAATGATTTATCAAACTAAATGTCACCCATCTGGTGTCCAGATCTAGTTTAAGGCACAGATACATGAAGGCACTACAGGACTATTATTACCACATGCACCCTTTAGGACCACACAAAAAATAAAAAACCAATAGCGCCAGAGGTGACCACTCCACTGAAGAGGTAAACATGCAGAAGTTCTGCAGGTCGCTGCCCCACATCAGTCAGGGAGACTGTAATATCTAAGGAAAAAACAAAAACAAGGGGCGCCTTTCCTAGTGTAGATACAATATTTTTTAGCAAAACGGCAAAGGTAGCAAAGAGCAAAACACAGCATGTGAGAGCTGCACAGATAAAGTTCCTGTGTGCCAGCAAAGTATGCCTTAGTTAAACAGTGAGTATTATCCTACCTTTGCCGTTTTGCTAATAATTTTTTTTTAAATCTACACAAGGAAAGGCGCGCTCTGTTTTTGTTTTTACCTTTTTAGGACCAGATCATGTTAACTTTAAGTGATCTTTTAATATTTTTTTTCAATTCTTTTAGGAACACAAACAAACAAATATGTGTTGAGTGTAATCAGGTAAGATTTCAGTCATAGTACTTTCCTTTTTTTTTTTTAAATGTGGTTAAAGAAAACTTGTTGCCTCATGAAGAGGATAAACCAACCAGGGGACCTTATGATAGGCAACTCCTGGTGCCTGAACATGACTGATTAATTTCCAGGTCCCCAAAGTCCAGGGCTTCCTATAATGCAAACAGCGGCCTCAACTTTTCATGTTTCCCACGTCTACCCTTGTCTAGTCGCTGTTTATTTATACGCATTATGCATTTTTTTGAAACCCTCATGATTTATTACTGTAGTGTAGTCAGTCTCGCTCGCTGAACAGCACTGTTGATCAGAACGTGTTTGAGAGGGGGCGTATCGGACAGCTAAATTTGCAGGCAGCTGGTGTGTGTGTGTGCGCAGTGGTCCTACTCTCCTATGTGATAGGGTTTTGTAACACTTAATGCAGCACAAAAAAAAGTTAAGGAATAACAGAACAGATATTTTTTACTGTATATTCAGCCCTTATTACATTACAATAATAAATCACAAGGGTTTAATTGAGCTTTCATTATTAATGCAAGCAATAAGTGGTGCCAGTATTATGATCCTAAGGTTGGTTTCTCTTCTACATGAGGCCCACATTATTAAAAGGGTCAGTCCACAGATATATCAATTATGGACTGGCCCTTAAGGGCCTAATCACCCACGGGCTTTCCATTTCAAGCAAAGATTCTTCTTGTCCACATTGCTCAGCTCTGCTCTCGCCACACTCTAGACTTAGCGGTCCATGCTTTTTTTCATCATAATGTTAGTCAGGTGAAAAGGAGAGACGGAGAAACCTTTGGTTGAACTAGATAGGAAGGCATCAATGTATAGGCTGCCATAGACAATAACCGATATACTGTTAGTGTACATGGGCTTTTTAAATAGGCTTAATAAGCTACAATAAGGTCAACTTCAAAATCATCTTGTGGGATCGAAAGTGCCAGAAACAGAACGTAGAAAGACTAGATTTTATTTGAATGTATGTAAATATGATCGCTTCAGATGCTACTTTAGTTTAAAAAATGAACACAGTACATTCAACGTCTGTCAGAACTGAAAAAAACACTTTGGGTGGATGGACTGCCTGGAAAAGAATGGCATGCTATACATTTCTCACTTTTTATGACCACATGTAAAAAATGTTACCTCAATAAATATTTGCTCCACATCATCAATTCCACATACTAATATATTAAGCCCACTGTAAACAGAATTATTTGTTATTGATAAAGCAACTTTTTGGAAGCACGTGTGAAGATCACCAGAACTACAAAATACATTGAACTTTTTGTCCTCTTAAGCGTAATTTCAGTGTGCTACCCCTAGTAGCAGTCTGAATTTACACATTTTATGCACCTCAACACATTGCATAGACTTGAACTAGCACCATATAAAAACAATAGATAACCTGTGTAAACAAACATGTATTAAAACGCAAATTTTGAGACACATAGGTGCAAATGAACTTTTTGTTTAAATGAGTGTAAACCTTCCAGGTGTATTAAAACAAAGGTCTTACAAAAAGAATAAGTTCACTTTGTCTAAAAGTGCACTTATTATTTAAAGATGAACTCCAGGCACAATTTTTTTAACCCTTGCAGTGGGGCTACCCACTTGAAAATGAGCTTGTTTTCATATAGAACAAAAATAAAGATATACTTGCCTGAAGACTGGCTGTTAGACTGGTCCCTGCCACCTCGCTCCCCTTCCACTCCAGCGGTCTAAGGTCCTGTGAGCTTCACTGATTGCAGAGCTATTGTTCTGACTCAGTAGGGGAAATATCAGACCGCTGCTTCCCCATAGAGAACAAGGGTTCCACACAGCAAGCTGAAGGCAGAGGACAGGCTTTTCCACTGCAGCTCAAGACATTGAACACCTTTTTGTTTTGGTGCACCTGAATGTATTTAGCAGATCTAAACTGGAGGTTCAATGGGGCTTTAATCATTTCCTGATCTCGTTTTGGTGCACCAACATTTGATTTGGCTGCCATGTACTGCTACACTTGCATAGAGTGAAAATAAAATTGTTTGGGGTGGACATAAAGCTAGAGAAACATTCTTTCATATACATTTGCTTCATCTGTAGAGGGGAAAAAAACTCACTATTCCTTACTTTTAGATATGAACGGGGAAGAGTTAAACCCCCTATTGGGGTTACTGCCCTCCCAGGGCTCCATGAAAGAGATTTCCACTCACTTCCTATTCTGCTGACAATGTTATACCAGACTGGAAGGGAAAATCCCCAACAGCAACATGTAGTAGGGAAAGGCTATGACCCCTGTTAGATTTGTATTCATGTCTGGATCCTGGTTGCTGATTTTCCCTCACTTCCTGCCAGCTAAAGCGGGATGCATAGTGAGGGAAAACCTCTCTAATGGAGCACTGGATAGAAGTAAAAACTTAACAGGGATTCTAACCCTTGCCAGCTTTATCTAAAATTAAATCTCCTTCAGTTAGGGTTTACATCTATTTTATTTCACATTGCATGGTTTTTATTGCAGTTTATTAATGTTTTTCTTTCTTTTCAGGTGTACTTTATCAAGGAACAAAACATAGTAACGCCTTACAAGGTTCAACGTGTAAGTTGGATTTTACTGAGTTACATGGTAGAGGCTTCTTAAAGAGGATCTTTATACTCAAAAATCAAATTATACCAATGCATCCCTCCTATGTATGGTGATTAATAATAGCATAAACATGTCCGGTGTAAAATGCTATGATTTTGAAATACTTACACTTGCAGAGCATTCACTTCCTGCTTTGAAAGGGCAAAATGACTTCAGTTTGCCAATGCAGTGCACACTGGGATTGCCTTGTCATCAGCAGCGCATTGCTGGGAAATCTCAACTGTAATCTCATGAGCTCTCAGGGAAAGGCATTTCCTCCCCTGAGATGATGTGCATGGTCCCATGTCTAGTCACGTGCTACAATTTCAGGAAGTAAATGGAGAGCTAGTAATCTGCCCTTAGTAAACGTGGCCACTGTCAGAAGGAACTGGGGAAGGAAACAGAAATAAGGTATGCAAAGAATACAAAGCCTACAATTACCTAGAAGTATGTGTTTGTAGATTGTCAATACTAAACATTTTCTAAAGATGATGTGTTTGTTGTTATTTTAAAGATATGGGTAAAGGTTCGCTTTAAAGCAACCCTGTCAAAAAAAATCCCTGCAATAGAAGCATTCTTATGTTTACTTCTACGGTTAGAGGAGAGGTAGAAGTAGGAGTACTTTCCACCGCTACAGGTTCTGTCAACCTCTTCAACATTCAACAGTTCTGGGAGTGTCAGATGCCAGGGTTCCCCTCATACGCCATATTCTCCTATATCACCCCTGTGTTCTGTAGTGACATTGCCGGTCTCTTCCTGCCTGCTTTCTTCCTAATGTTGGCCCACCAGTATGATGGACAGCCTTATTAGCATGAGTAAGGCACATGAGGTGGGAGGGGATGGACTAGAACCAGCAATCAAGTGAGCTGTTTGCATCACATGGAACTCTGGCTTTCAAGGGTGCCATACAGGGGATCAGAGGCATCATACATGCTTTTTGTTTTGGGGGTCTCCATTTAGAATATTAAAGGAGAACTATGGGGTTAAGTCTTTTCCCCATAGTTCTCCTTAGGGTAACGGGAGGACACAAACTAGCGTCCTCCCGTCACCCTAGGCTCAGTATAAGTTCCATAAATGCTTGTGCAGGAAACACATCCTGCCTCTCTAAATGTACTGATGCAGCTCACAGTCAAATAAGTGCACATAGCCTGTCGTATAAAAATGCCAATAATTCTTTATCATGGCTGGTATCCTCCTTTTAAAATATACCTCTCATCTCTGTGTATCATTAAGGCAAATATTACATTAGATGGACCAGAGTTTAAGTGTTTGCAGTTCATAGCAACTAATAATAATTACAAGTAATAACAATAGTAATGTATTATACGATATGTCAAACTGTTGTCGACATAATGCTTGATAATGGAGCAGGAAAAGCATTACAGCATACATTTTGCCACAGGTGATTTTTCTCCCTTTGCTTGCCAAGGTTTCATAATTTTTTATTATGACAAACGCACACCTCTCTATTAAGTACATTTCTGGCATTGTGTTTGTATAGGAACACTGAAAAAGGGATCATATTTCCAAGCCAAGCTTTTTGGAAAGTTGAGGCTGTATGGTTTGACAGTGCTGATCTGTAATTGATCTTAGCTGCTGGAAAGAGAGAGTAGACTCCTCTAATTAGTATCTAGCGTTTGCTGCCAATGCATAGACTTTATCACCTCTTTATATCACTTTTTGTCTGATGTAAGTATTCGACACGCAGCATAATAATGTGAACAGTGGAGACTGGCCAGACATCCTCATTGCTTACCTTGGGGAAAATACACTTGTGTTGTTAAAATAAAAGCCAACCTGGCCAAATGTTCATTTCTCCATGAACAATCCTTAGATGTTCTTTGTTGCCTCAGCCAAATCAAGTGACATTTGTCAATGAAAACTCTAGTATGTTTGGAATTTTTAATATTATATACTGTATGTGTGTGTGTTGTCCTCCATGGTGCCTGTTTGTGTGTTGTAAAGTAGTCACTGCTCCAAGCTCGCTCCCGTGATATACTATAACTTCAATACAAGTTAGTAAACTAAATGCAAGATTCAAATGCATCCCAGGAATGAGCTTGGAGCGGTGGCTACTTTACAACACACACAGGGACCACGGGGAACAAAAGTAGCCACCCTCCAGAAGGAAGGACAGGGTCAGCACCAATTCAGAGGTGATTTTGAGGATCTACAGCCGAGTGATACACAAATAAGATACATTTATAGTTATGGTACTTTGAATGCATTTTTGTGATTTAACTCCTGAGTTTGTGTCACTTTAAGTATGTAAATGTTTGCGTCTATTTGAACAGAACAAACGTTCAGAAAGATTTGTAGTGTGAAAGGCTCTCTGTAATTGTTTAAAAGTAGACATCTTATATTGTATAGTTATATTTTTTTAATCACATTTTAAAATACATCCATTTATTTTTTTAGGGTGGAAGTCAAATTTTCTTTCAGTTGGAGGATTCAAGGAAGGTTGATGATGTTGTACAAACTGTTCTCCAGGTAAAATAATGGATCTAGAGTTTGCAGAGTTTATGTGAATTTGGATGACTTTAAAATTTAGGGATGTACCGATACCAATACTAGTATCTGTGCCGATACTGAGTATTTGGGCGAGTACTTGTACTCGCCCAAATGCTCCGATGCCTAGCCCGATACCCGAACGTCAGCGTGTAATGATTCGCTGCCTAGCTTCCTGATTGGTCTGGAAACTGGCCAATCAGGAAGCCGGATGGCGAGTCATTACCGCCCGCCGGCTTCCAAATTGGCCAGAAAGCCGAGTTCAGGCTTCCTCGTCACCTGGTGACGAGGGTGTAGGGAGCCGGCTTCCCAGCCAATCAGGAAGCCAGGCAATGACTCGCTGCCCGGCTTCCTGATAGGTCGAGAAGCTGGCCAATCAGGAAGTCAGGCGGTAAGTCATTACCTGACCCCCGGCTTCCTGATTGTCCAGAAAGCTGGCTCCATGCTTCCCTGCTAATCGGGAAGCCGAGTGGCGAGTCTTTACATGCTGCCCGGCTAATCAGGAGGCCAGGTGGCAAATCATTACACTGCATCCTTAATGGGACTTCCAGTATCAGTATTTGGTATTGGCGAGTACCGGAAAAAAAATATCGGTACTCAATATCGAAAAACCTGTATTGGTGCATCCCTATTTAAACTAGAAATTAGAAAATTAGAAAGTTTAAAGCAGATATTTTTTTTGATTTTTTTAAATCTAAACACTTTGAAATTGCTAGTTACAATTGTACATACCTGCATACTTGCAAACCCATGTTTAGCTTTTATTTTATCCATATTTTATATTCTTAATATGCCAGTTTGCAGAGTCAGTTGTCTACTGTGTGCCCCTTTAGTTAGCCATTGGGCCACCTATCAGATAGGCAGCCCATGGGCCAACTGAAGGAATACACATGTAGGTTCAGTTGCAGCATACGTAAAACAATTGCATCTTCGCTTTTTGTTTTTTTGTTTTTTTTTCTTAATTGAAATATTTCCTTATTCTTACAGCTACAAAGAGCTTCTCGCCTGGAGAAACTTGGAGACCAGACAGCCATGGTAAGACTTGAAACCCTTTTACAAGGTGCAGTGGTTTTGGTTGTTTGGTGCAAAAGTATAAAATCTTTTTTTTCTGTCACTAGATAACTGCCATTCTACAATCACGTTTAGCAAGATCATCATTTGATAAAAACAGGTTGGTAAAAATCTTAGGCTAGACTAAATCTTTTCTACAGAGCTTTGTAAATGTAATGTTCAGGTATCCTCATATTCCTTTACAGCTTTCAAAGTGTATCTGAAACCTCCCACATGGAATGCTTGGCAGAAATGGTAACACCATTGGTAACCAATCCAGGACATGTGTGTATAACAGACAAATACCTCTACTTTCAGCCATTAAATGGCTATCCAGTAAGTCAATATTTTTATTCATCTTATGCAGTGTACATTTTTGCATTTAATGAGCACAACGCAAAAGGAGAGCCTCCATAGTGTAAAATGTATTTATTATGGATAAAACACACAGCTGAAAAGGTACTTACAAACCAGCTCGTAAAACGAGCAGAAAGCGATATAATCTAAGGAGACCATCAAGATAAATACACGAAAATAGGGTGAGGGAAAGGAAGTGCTAGTACTAAGCTGATGAAAGAGGTTTGTCCTCAGAAACGCGTCAACTGAAGGAGGGTCAGCGTGCAGATGGCTTCGGCTTAGTACTAGCACTTCCTTTCCCTCACCCTATTTTCGTGTATTCATCTTGATGGTCTGAGATTATATCGCTTTCTGCTCGTTTTTACAAGCTGGTTGCTGTGTGTTTTATCCATAATAAATCAATTTTACACTATAGAGGCGCTCCTTTTGCTTTGTCCTCATCAGATTTCTGGTTTCCCTTGACTGTGAGGAGCTGCCCCCCCCCACCCTGTATATTCTTGTAGAAGACCCATTTTCAGGAGCAGTTACTGTGTTTTGGCGCCTGTGATTTTTACAGATTTTTACATTTGGGTCATCCAGTGTCAGTATCAAAGCACTTCCAAAAAATAGAGGGAATAAATTAAATATGACAATCCAGGTGGTTTCTAGGTTTGCTGTTTGTACATGGGGGTGGCGTGGACTTAATATACTTTTTAAAAAAAAAATATACAAAAAATAATAAAGTCACCGGCACTCCAAATGATCAAGTCAATAAGATTATTGACCCAAGTGATAACACCTCTAGCAACGTTTTGGGGCCGCATGCCCCTTCCTTGCCTGAGGAAGGGGCCGCATGGTCCCGAAACATTGCTAGAGGTGTTATCACTTGGGTCAATAATCTTATTGACTTGATCATTTGGAGTGCCGGTGACTTTATTATTTTTTTGTACGTTTTTGACGGAGGCATCTGTTGTTGCTGCTGCACCCGCCCACATTGGGCATTCTCCGGTCAGGAGTGCGAAGGGATATATGGACTTTTGATTAATAAACTTTAAGGTAAAGTATTATAGTGTGAAAGACTATATATCCTTTATTTATATTGAAAAATGTTCCCCTACTTGAAGTTACATTTTAAAATAAAAATTGCCTGTGTTTTTCTAGAAACCTGTTGTTTGCATTAGCTTGGCTGATATACGAAGAATATACAAAAGGAGACACATGCTAATGCCTGTGGTAAGTTTGTTGATGTAGTATTCAGATAAACTGAATGTTTTCCTTAGCATTGACAACCTTTCACATAATGCAATACCCCTATAGATATGTATGGCTTCCCATATAATTATTGGTTTACAATCTAGTGAAACGGTACCATTATCATTCCATTATTGTGCAAGAATACAGTAGTTGGGTGGCAATACAGAGAGTTTTTCACAAAATATTTTGGTTCAATAATGGCACAGTCTCATTCTGTATGGGGCATGTACAGATGGCCCACAGGAATGGGAGAAATCATGTGACTTCCACTCAATAATGGATATAGGCCAAGTTCTGTAAAATCATAGCTATGGCAGAATTTGTGGAGGGGGTGGCTAAGGGCATTGGATTTCCCTTTGCTTCATCATGTTATCAGTGTCCTTTCTTATGGAAGTCTTCAGAAAAAAGTAAAAAAATATACAGTAGCTATATTTCATTATAAAGTGGAACACTCGTCTGTATATAGTTTGAAGAGCATGGGACCACACAGCTAAAGAAGATGGCACAGTGATATTTGGGGGCCATAGCATTGAAATCTAGACATAAGTGGATGTTCTTTGTTAAAATCACAACAGTCTGCTTATGTGAAACAAAAGATTTGTTGACGGTTGTTTTTGTAGAAATGTTGCACACGTAAAAAGAAAACAGCGCCCCGATACATTGGTTTCCAGCACCGAGAATTTGGCAAAGAGCACAGATCTTTTTGTTCTGTAATCAGTTGCCCTGACAATTAATCCAACTTTTTAGCTTACCCTTATAATATATGCCAAACATCGGCAAAGAATAAAAACATAAATTCTTAATACTCCACTAAAAGATAAAACAAAATTTCAGTTTTCTCTGCAATACTTGACTTCATTCTGGAGCTGTCTTTCACAGTGCTTTATATTCTGGTGCAAGATGTCCTTCATTTTCCTGATTTAATGAAGGTCAGCGTCATTCAACCCACTTCCTCTGAAAGTGAGGTTGTCATAGGCCTACCCCCAGCCTGTGACTGGACAGCAATGTAGAAGCAGCAAATGATCAATATTGATCACTCTGCTTTCTCCTATCAGCTTGCTCTTTGTCAGCACATTTAGAAAAAATTAGGGATCAGCACTAGAATAGAGACACCACACCCCTGATTACACTCATAATTATAAATCAATAGAAAAAATTGGGGCTTTAAAAGTGTCTACTAGTTAATGCAAGGGAATATAGCTAAACATAATGTCACAAAACTAATCAATATAATAATATAAAACTCATTTTTAATAAGGTCAGTACATGATTGACAAAGTGTAAAAAAATCTCATAATCATCTTAAAACATAATACATAAACGGCATGTCACCTCTTAGGACCCGTATAGATTGTTTGGCATAATACCATTTTTTTATGTTTTCTATATTCATTTCATCTAAAAATGTCCATAAATAAATACATTAGTCATCATAATATTATTGCAAATTTCATTAAATAATCTGTACTTTTCTTCGACGCGTTTCACCGTAGCTTCGTCAGGAAGTTGATAGAGGTAGCCTATGAATTCTATATGAATATGATTGTAAGCAATCAAGTACTTGGAAATAACCACTTGCCATACATGATAAATATTAACATAGATAATAATGAATCAAATAAATACCATAAATAGAATGTATGATGATAATGGTGATCAGACTCGCATCCAGGGGAGCCCCTCCACTCAGCCAGGACAAGAGGTGTGGAGAAGCCAGGGGCAAGTGGGAATGGCAAGATCCCATGGCTGTCCTTTGGCAACCAATAGAATAAATAGAGTCCAATGCTCCACTGGGTATACCTTCATATGCATATATATAGAGAATATCACATGTAACCCGACAAAACAATAAACTCTGTGTCATGCCAGGTACATGATTTATACAAATAAGTCCGATGTATTAGTAAAGTTCGCCTAAACATGTGATAATTTTGTATCCATACCAAATGACCAATTATGTCAATATATCTTGCATAAATACACTAAAAATCGCTTCCATCCTAGATCATCAATTGATCCAATTAATCCCATCTTCTCAGTAATTGTCCAAATATATCTAATAGTATCAAAGATAGTCCTCATTGGTATTGATAGTTAAGTATATTATACAAAAAGTTATCTAAGAGGCAAAAAAACAAAACCATATAATTAATTACTTATAACCTAAGTCTTCGATGATATACCTTTATATAAGTAATTGGAACTCCTCCTGCATCCAGAGCCAAATTTCCCTTCCCCCAAGCCCCTGTGTCTCCCCTCATCTGAAGATTCCCTCCATGGACACACACGCCGCCCCGAAGTGTCGGCGTGTGTCATATCCGGTCGGGGCGGGCACTAAGTGCGCACATGCGCCCTATATATCAGCGCACCCGACAAGCTTGATAAAAGAGCGAACTGCCCAGGGGCATCGGCACCAGCGCTGCCTCAAAGGTCGATCAAAGAATGAGGAAGTGCTGGGGTGAAGACCATCCCCAAAGGTTGCGTGTAGGCGAATGGCCCGCTGCATCAGTCAGTCCTGTGTGAGGGAGATGGCATCCCATGAGTGCGAGTCGTATCCCCATACATAAACATCTCACTGATCATAGTAGAAACATCGATTATTGAGCATTGATCATCTAACATACAGTTTTTTTAATAATTTGAAACATAATTGGATCCTCAATTCAAATTAAATGAACTTCCAGCTAAAACATGATACAAATAAACATAAAAATAAAAAGTGCTAGTGATAGTGTACTTTTGATCTAGTGCTGTTGAACAATAAGTGATCAAAATAGAGGGGTAGTGTCAGTAGAATAATGTGATCTGAAATTATGTGAATAGAATGTATAGTGTAGCACCCATTCCTTATATTGTAAAGCACTGTACAAACTGGTGGCGCTATATAAATCCTGTATAATAATAATATTTAAAAACTAAATGTATTGATGCATTGATAAATACAGAGATGCATTAATTTGTGTCTTGTAAATCTGCCTAGAGTTCAGCTTTAAAGGACATTACAAGTCCTTAAAATTTAACCTAACCCCTCAAAATCTTAACCCTTAACTTTAAAACGTGCCCAAAAACGTAACAGGTATTCCCTCTGAAACCTAACTCCAGCTCTAACCCCATTTTTCACTGATAGAACCCCAGGCTTTGCTTATCAGCGCCCACTCTCTATTCCGATTGGCACACAGAAAGCAACCGATCCAATGGACGAGTAGTGAAACGTCTAAAGTATTATAGAACAAGTCTATCTGAATGTTACTAAATTCAACTAGATGTACTATGACATGAGAACCTTCAAAGACACATTGATTTAACAAATTCCTGTCCTTTTGTAAAGATTTTTATTTTAACTTGTCATGCAGTTCCATTGCAGGTAACTACACATTTTTTGTAATTTTGTTTTTATTTTTAGGGACTGGAAGTATTTTGCACTGAAAACGATTTGTGTTCAGACATATACCTAAAATTTTATAATCCAAAAGATCGCGATGGGCTATACTACTATATCGCAGCTTATATAGGTTGGATTTTTGTTGTTACAGTTTATCATCATTCATTTTATGGAATATTGAAATAATGCATTCCTTTCTTATAATGTGGAAAAGCTTTCTGTAATGTGCTAACATGGGCCCACTGCATTTCCAGACTGGAGGAAGCCACTGTGCTAAACAAGATTAATAATCTAATCGAGCAGTACACATGGCATGTCAGAGGTTGCATTTGACCTGCATTGCACTGCATTTCTTTGGATGCCGCATGCTCTTTTAAGATGTGTTTGAACTGCAGGAAAAGTAGATCAAACAAATCTATGCATGTCAAATATGACCGTTTTGATTTGAATGTAGTGTTCAACTAGAACACAGTTGAGTTGAACACTTAGGAACATGGCTGAGTGCATGATGAACGGGTCATGCTGGCTGTTTTTTTTATCACCCCCTCCTCCCTCCCAGCTTCATAGGCACTCCAGTGGTGAGTTCCTGGGTCTTCCCACCTAACATGAAAATTATAAGTAATCTTACTCTCCCTATTGGATGTCTCATCCACTTTGTGGAGAATGCAATACAAGGAAGTATATGACTTGTTTGGGGCAGAGCTTAGAATTTCTTCTCTCCAATTTTAATGCTGAAACTCATTGGGTGATCCAGCCTATAGACGAAATATCAATATTGGGTGGACATACTTTAAAATTATAGTTATTACCAGATATAGATGGCAGAGGACCAGTGTATGTCTGCCAGGAGATTCCCAAGAATTATTATTCCACCCAGAGGCATTTTTTAAGGCTTGTCACCTACAATCTTGTTCAATCTTGTACAATCATTCACCAGGGCATTTGTATCGGCATACCTACTGACTTGATCTAGTTTATCTTATTGCTGTAGAGTTACTTTCAGGTCGTGAACTGTTCAGACATGTGTATTAGTCTTTCTCTAATGTTACTGGATTTTCCATTTCCTTGTGTCTATGGCAGACTTTATTAACGTTCTGTCCTTTTTTCCATCTCCTTTGGAAACTTTCTGATAGTTGTAGATGGCAGGGTATTGACTTTGGCTACCTCCATGCTGGACAAATCCAAAGGTTCAGGTTGCTATGGAAACTGAAAACAGTTTGCTGACAACCTGGATGTCCTGTCCACATGCATTGCTAATCCAAGAAATTTCCGAGGCCAGTGACATTTTAGTCTAGTGTTTAATGACAACTACTATTCTTTTACAGCAGCCAGGCAATGGGGATAGTGAAACAGAGTTTTTTCTGTGCCAAAATGTCACCATTTTGTCTAAATACATTGGAGTCAGTGGGGAAAGGGAAATTAAGGTTTTTGTAGGCCACAATGTGGTTAATATGGCTCCTGAGGGAGCTTTAACTCCTTGCTGTCTGCAATCCCCATATTAACATATATGCTGTAAGGCCCGGTTCACACCTGGGCGTTTTGTAGTGCGTTTGAGCGCTTTGCAAAGCGCTCAAACACCGAAATCCCATTATTTCCTATGGGTATGGTTCACACCTGGGCTATTACAGGCCGTATGAACGCGCTACAAAACGTCCTACGCCCAAAGAAGTACAGGAGCTTCTTTGGGGCATTTTTGTCGCGCGTTTCCATTGGGATACAGCCAAATAGCCCTCGGAAACGCGCGTTTGTCGCACGTTTTTTTTACTGCGAATCACGGTAAAAACGTGCGTCACACGCGCACATTCGATACGCCTAGGTGTGAACCCAGCCTAAGATACAGTGATCGAGTATCAGTCATAATTGGTACTGATCATGTGAGAACTATGGCAGCTATTCATACTGACCATGTGGCTATGCTTATGAACAAGCCAACATCAGCCTGCTGAACTGCATGGTGCCTCACACTAACTGCAGCTCTTATACAAACTGTAACAAAAAAAAAAGATTAAAAAGTTGAAAAAAAATATTCATATAAGCTGTTTAAATATTAACAATTTTTAAAAATGTTGTCCATTTGTCAGCTTATAATAAAAAAACTAATTATTAAAACAGTGCACCAAATAAGTTCCTTACAAAACATACCCATGTTTATTGCCGGGAAGCTGAACTAAGCTTTCTCTGCGCTTTTTGTCATGTGACTGGATGTTGACTCATGTGACACAGCCCTGGGGAAGATGAGTCCTGCTAAAGCCACTGTAAGGCATAACAGGGATCATTATACCACCAACAATGTCCATTATAGTTGCTTGGGAGGGGGTGCAGAGATGGGTACTCTATATATGGCAGCTGTTGGGGAAACTGCATACATTGCGGCTATGAAGGTTGTGAGCTGCAAACATCGGATCCAAGCCTCATTGTTACTGGTTCCTAATTTTATTGAACTGGTTTCATTCTTCAGGAAGATTTGATCACAACTGGCTGTCTCTGTTGAATGTAGAAAGCAAATCCGCTATCACATGTTCTTCTCTCATTTAAAGGTTGCAACATGAGATTATCCATTGTTTAACAAAAGCCTTGGAAACATATGTATGAATGACCTTTTGTTGTTTCCATTGACTTGTATTAAGAAAATAGAGATTGGGGAAGATGACATTGAAGATAATGGCTGTGTCTCATGTTTCCTGCAGAAAATCACGTGACAGAGCATACTGCAGACAGCTACATGCTCCAGTGGCAGATGGGACGTATCTCCAATTACCAGTATCTGTTACATCTCAATAACCTGGCAGACCGGAGCTGCAATGATCTGTCTCAGTATCCTGTGTTTCCATGGATCATTGCAGACTATACAAGTTCAGAGCTAGGTATGAGCTTTTCTTGATGGAACTTATGTCATAACTGTACATCATCATACAGCATTTGAATTCCTACAATGCATTTTGTTTTCAATATAAAACATCCTTTTTTTTTTCTCTGAAGACTTATCCATTCCTCAAACCTTCCGGGACCTAACTAAACCAGTTGGAGCTTTAAATAAAGATAGACTTGAAAGGCTGTTGGTATGTAATTATTAAGTATTGTATGTTGATAGCATATATACCTTCTTTACCCCACAGGAGAGTTCTGAAGAACTCCACCCAAAAAAAGCACATGAAGATGTTTGAAATTGTGTTATGTGTGGCCAAAGCTCTCCTTCAGCATCTCAAAGCCTATAGATGAACCCTAGGGGAAAAGGGTTCATCTCCCATGATACAATGCAAACTTTTAGTCCCCATTTATTTTGTGTGTGTTTTTCAGGCTTGAGTACTTGTATTTTAGCCAATTGAAAGCTAGTTCCTAGGAGAGGGTTGATGGTTGGTAGATGGGGAAATGGGCAAAAGCGTGCGTTACACATGTGCGTTACACATGTGCGTTACACATGTGCATTACACATGTGCGTTACACAAAGGGCAGATTAACATATCTCATTTTATTTCCTGGAGTCTGGTACAAGTGACAAGGACATGTGCAATGCACATCATCTCAGGGGAGGAAAATGCCTTTCCCTGAGATCTTGTGAGATTATAGATGAGAATTCCCAGCAATGTACTGCTGATGTAACCTTCCCAGGTTGCAACGCACATTTCATCACTAATGCCCAAGAGGGGCCAGTAATTGTAAGTAAAATAATAATATGCTTGTTTAACTAATGAATGTGAACCTTACTGGTGGATGTGTTTTAATATACAATGAATTATTTATCACCAGTCACTGCTTGGTGAATGTCACATTCACAGCTTTATACATATGACCCTTAGTGGTAATTTCAGTGATTTTATGTATGTGAGCAGCCTGAAAAGTGTTACATAATGACAGCGTCTCATTAAAGAAAGATGCTGGAGAGGTGGAAGGGGACAAAGCCAGGCTTGACTTTTAGTAGCATTTGTAAAAATAATTTTATATTCTTATTAAATGCATCGTTCTGATGTTTGTTTTTGTTTTACAGGAGCGTTATCATGAAATGCCTGATCCAAAATTTATATATGGAAGCCACTATTCCTCGCCAGGATATGTTCTGTTCTACCTGGTCCGAGTTGGTAAGGCTACATTCAGTTACATTTCAAATTGGTAGGATATAGTACCAGATATGTAATGCTATGTCCATTAAAACTGACACCACAATTGCCAATATACCTTTCTGTAAGCCTACAGGCTTCTGTATCCTTTGTTTCCTGTGTAGCTCATTCGTGTTACCCATTTCCTCAAGTTTTTTAGGCTGCACTTACCATTAGCAAGGAATCATGCTGTCCAAAATAGCTGAATAACATAAACATTTTGAATCTCAGTGCTGCTGATCTTTTCTAGCCCCTTTCAGCCACTTCTAATCTACATGCATGTACTTCAGTGGCGGCTGTATGTTCTCAGGGCTTCGTATGGTTATAAACCATAATGTCGTAACTCCCCGCAATTAATGTATTTACTTCAGGCCATGTAAACTAGCACCTGCATGTTCCTATAGGTTCCCAGAGGTTCTTGGCCATATCTTTTTGTTATATCTCACATCTTCTAGAACTTGTGAGAACCCTTAAACCTAAGGGCTGTAATATGGAAATACCAATGTGGACTAGTCAGCCATAACTTTGCTTTGCTGCCTCCTTCAGATTTCTATGGGTTCATCAATGTGGTGGACTGATTCACTGACCAGTAGACAGCTAGAGGATGGTGCCGGGCCAAAAACAACTTCACTGCCCAAGTGGTATTTGTGTATGATAGTTTTTCAGGTTTTGGGCACCTTGGCCAAATCTCGGAGATGATGGAGGATATAGGGAGGCACCTATGGGTGCTAGTTTCCAGTGCATGAGGTGAGTACTAGCGCATTTTGTTTTATGCTTTGGTAAATATCTAAAATCCCCTCCTCATTTTTCCAGCCCCAGAGCACATGCTCTGCATCCAGAATGGGAAGTATGACCATGCAGACAGGATGTTCAACAGGTTAGTATACGTATGCTGCAATAGATAATGCTACATTGTAAAATACATGTTATCCATTTATGCTCCATAGTGAAGATACAAAGGAAGTAATAGATTCTACCTCTTTTCCAGTATTGCAGAGACGTGGAGAAATTGTTTAGAAGGGGTGACGGACTTTAAAGAGGTAATCCTTTTTTTTTTATACAACTGCACAGCACTGATTTATGTGTTTTTTTTTTCTTTTTATAACACAATTGGTATTGTTAGTTAATTCCAGAGTTTTTTGGAAGTGATGAGAGTTTCCTGTTGAATAATTTGAACCTGGAGCTCGGGAAGAGACAAGGAGGGAAATTGGTGGATGACGTAGAGCTTCCACCGTGGGCCTCAGGTAATGTAGTCTTAATCTTCATTCCGGCATGTAACTGGTTCTATGAATATAACAACTGTATAAACTGTGTACACTAACAGTTTGTATTGTCCATATTGCTTATACATCTCGCCATCCTCCAATTAGATCCAGAGGATTTTCTGCAGAAGAACACGGATGCCCTAGAAAGCCAGTATGTCTCAGATTATCTCCATGAATGGATTGATTTAATATTTGGCTGTAAGCAGAGAGGAAGTGAAGCCGTTGCTGCCAATAATGGTAATAACAATTGCTTTTATTTTATAAATAACAATGAATGCCTTTTTTGTAGGCAACATACAAACCCCTTTATAGGACAGATGAAGGTGTCCCAGATACAGAATGCAGGACTCACCAGCACCATGCTTTTTTTCATGTGTATGTGTTTCTTGCATTCAAGTAGATGTACAGCTTGAGCAGAGCAGCCTTTCCGCTAACTTTGTGTCCTAGATGAGCAGTGGAAGCACCTAATGATGTTTTGTCAAACATCAGCAATAAATCACTACTGCTGGTCCATGGGTGCTTTTATACCTTTAGAACATCTTCTGCTTGGATGGAATCCGGGTAATAAAGTAGTATTAGTCTCTGATGTGTATTTCACACATTGCATTCTTAGATCTTTATTTTCTTAACAATATATACATTACTGCGTGGTAGTTTTTGCCCCTTTGGTATTTGAAAACAACATGGCATAAGTTGGTGCCCTTTTGTACCAGTTTTTTATTCTGCTTTTATACTACATTAAATGTATTTTTTTACAGAGATTGGCAGAGAGGGGTTGTAGACACTGAGCAGTTGGTAAGGTGGATGAGTCTGGAAGCAGCATTCATGATAGACTGAAAGGGGGATAGACTATGCAGAGGCAGTTGCAATAGGTAAGCCATGAGATAAGTGAAATAGTAGCTTAACGGTGTCATTGGTTAAGAAGGGGTGAATTTTGGAGAGTTCTTTTGGGATTTGTTACCGAGTAGAAGGTGGCAGGATTTGGACTAAAATTGGATGTGGGCCTGAAAGGTGAGTTCAGAGTCCAGGGTTATACCTAGCACCCGGGCATGAGGAAAGAGATGGATAATTGTGCTATTAATCTCAATTGAAAAGTCAGGAGGAAAAACAGGGAGAAGGGATAATGTTCAAAGAAATATTGGCTTAAATTAAACCTATAGAAATGGGGCAGCTAAAATATTCAGGCTACTGGGTTGTCATCTTGATACTTAATCCAGTGAGCCAATGGCTGGGAACAAGCATGTAGCCAGAGAGGTCTGAAAAGTGTAAACTCTTTTCCTCCAGGTTTGTTCCACTGACACTGAAAAACTAGCTTCCTTCAAGTTGGCATTGTTGATGTTTTCCAATAGCCATAATTTTTTTAGTGCTCCAATGTTTTTGCCATCCTGTCTGGTATTAACAATTTTTTTCACTTTAAAATCACAATTTTCCACTTCAACTAGAGAAAAAATAATAATAATGAAAAATAGAATAAACAACCTTGTAACACAAACAGCAGCTTTTTGGTTCATCTATATACTGTAGTTTGTATATGTATTCTTTTAATCATTTTAATGCAAGTTTTATTGTTTTTGTAGTGTTTCACCCCGTAACATATGAAGGAGAAATTGACTTGCACAGGTAATAAAGGACATGCAGTAAGTAAATGTTAAATACTGTCACTTATATGTGATGATTTTAGTGTATACTGTATATCGCTTATGTTCTAGTATTCAGTCCTCTTATTTGTTACTTTGTTATGACAATTTAATACTTGCAGTAGTGTCTGTACATCTTCAGACTTTGAGCAGACCACACAGAAAATGTGGCTTTAAGTGACATATAATATAGTTGATGCTTGCCATACAAATGTTTTTGTAAAATTGTCCTTCATAAGGTTCGAAAAATTTGTTTCCAGCACCAGACATGGTACATGCAAATACAGCCAAATATATTAAGACCCAAATGTCTGATCCATATGCTGAGCGCTCTGATCTGTTGGGCAAGGGCGGGGTGGAGGGGGATAGCAGCGGAGGATTGCCGGAAAGGTGAGTAACAGTGGGTCAGAGTAAGATCCTTTTCACAGACATTTTCAGTTGGCCCTAAATGAGCAAAGTGACATTGTCTCATTAAGACCACAAATGTAGCTGGTGAGACATTTGGAAAAGATATTTGCTTTGCAATCTTATATGTGAGTTAGCCATTTGCCATTAAAAGTGTACACCAATGCAATGTTGTAGATTGATTTTCATGTGTTCTCTCCTTTTTATAGTATTGAAGATCCTGATCATAAAGTAGCTATGCTGACACAAATCTTGGAATTTGGTCAAACACCGAAGCAGCTATTTATGAAACCTCATCCAAAGAGAATATTTACAAAGTCAAAAAGTTTTTCACGGTCTTCCAGTCAAAATATTTCTATGTCAGACTCACCTGGTATGTCCGAAACATTGACAACTTCTTTCTAGAAATAATTGTCACAAAATTTAACTTTTCCAAAGTAATTTAGCTTATGTGCTAGTAGGGGTGTTGTGGGTACCACTGCTTCTGGGTCCACAAGGTCGGGGAACTGAGGTTTGATTGATAAACCACATTATTTACCATCTGCATGTTAATATTGTATTCCATACAGTATCAAGTAATATGTATTACAGGCTGCAGTGTACAGAGGGAACTACAATGTGGGGCATGGAAAGCTACGTTTACCACGTACATGAGCTTCTGTGTGGAAACTGAGCGCTCTCCCCGAGCTCTCTCCCACCATTCATTAATATTCATAGCAGCAACACCCCCTGAACAGTGCAGAGTGACCTGGAGAGGCAGAGCTGGTGTGCAGTGATTTTGTTGCAATGACTCACAAGGAGGGGGTCAGCTGCTTTACAGCCTGTACAAGTCAATCTGACTCCATTGCCAGACTGAGTTTCCTGTGGAGTGAGTTTTGTATTGGTAGGACTCGGACCCACAAAAAAAATAAGAAAGCCAGCAATATGGATCCTCTTACCTATCCTTCCTCGTGCATGGCGTGCTATGCTTGGGTGACTTCTCCCCCCTTGTCACCATGGTCTGCAGGTACAGGCTTCTTTATTCTTTCTTTGCTCCTCTTTCTCTTTTTCTTTTCTCTTCCTACTCCTCTTTTTTTTTTCTTTCTTTTCTCTTTTTCTATGTTTCGGTTCTTTAGTATGATTGTCCTGCAGATCTCTTATGAGCAATTCGTTTTTTGCTTTGATACTGTTACTGAGTTCACTACGAATGGTACTTCTTAGTTGGCGTATATCATTTTTTGTACCGGAGTGCAGTTTTTCTCATTTATTTCGATCTGTTAACTTTGTCTGCTAGTTTTTAAATTTATTTTATTCTATTGTGCTATTGTGGATTTCTCATGATGCTTTGTTCATTTTTTCCTTTCCTATCTAATTTTGTATTGTTTTGCAATCTTTATTAAAAAGTAAATTATAAATAAGAGAATGCTTTGAAGCTGGTAGCTGAAGACAAAGGAGAATTTGCACCCATTGGCTAGATAAGAAAACCTGGCACCAACTTGTCTGTGGGACCTGCTATCCTTACACTGTGTAATTTTGTAATGAATAGTACACCCTGCAGCATCTGTTTGTATGTCACTTATCTCTACTTTAGGAACCTAAGAACAGACAAGAAAGAGAGAAAGATCACATATTATATAGATTAGTCAAACTCTTAACTAAAAGCTATATACATAATTGTTTAAATTTGCCAATGGAGATTTCACATAAACCTCATATGGCAACAGCTCAGACCAATTTTTCACGATTGTTCGCTAGGCCCGAGCACTGTATCATGGGAGGAAACCATATGCTGCTAATTTGCAATGGCAGCCACTAGACAATGAACAGTGGAGAAGCGTTAGAGAGGGTTTTATGCAAACATTGTTTCTTTGCCCCAAATGGGTAAAGTGACAGTGGCTTTTTAATTTTGTTCTGGGCCTCTGGCTTTTGGTTGCAACTTGAAGTACCTGGAAAATCACTTTTAGTGATAGGCAAACACTGTGTAGTCAACTGTAAACCAAGCACCTCCTCTTTAAGTAGGCCTTTTTCAGATTTATGTAGTTTGAATACCTCCTCCACGTCTCTTCATCATTGTTTAGACTGCCAAGCAGTGGAGAGAGCACTGCTGGAGAAGCTGAATGAATACCCTTTGTCAACCTTATGGTACTTAAAATACACTTGTCATGAGATTTTGAGAGGCTGCAATTGCTGTTTCACCTACCTACTAATTTTAAACATTTCTTAGTCAATGGCCATGAACAAATATGCAGATCAGGAAATCTGCATTCTGGCTTTTGCTCAAAATATTGCAGTAAGAGTATCCGCATGACAGCCAGACAACTTGAATCAGGAAGAGTAGAGCTAAAGGATGGCAGTCTCCATGTTTATCCTCTGACAATTTCATTCAAAATGTGCATTGTCTAACAAGAGGGCACAAAGAGTCAAACCCATTACCATATAGTCAACCAAAAATCACCTGTTTTAATTTAAAATGTGCTCACAAATGACCGGCGTGTGCATTTTGTAACGGGGGGATTTGCAAGATTGAAGAATGCCAAAAGTGTCTGCCGTGCGCAAAAGTTGGGTCATTACCATAGTGCATACCGTATGAAATAGGGATGTTCAGATACCAGTTCAGATACATGTGCCGATACTTGGCATTTTCACGAGAACTATCAACAGTTCTTTCAACAGTTGCAGCTGGGACTGGGCTCTGACGATCCACCACTGTCCTGAAATCATTAGTCTGTATTGCTTTAGAACAACTGTCACATGACAATAAACAAAAATGTATCAGTAATTGTATCTGTGAGGACTTGGACAAGTATCAGTGCTTCCCTAATATATATTTATGTAAAAAAAAATCATACATTAAAACAGAGATGTACAAATCCCAGGAGCTCCGTATGCGCCTTAAAAATGTCAGCTGCCTCCTAACTTTTGAGTTTTTCTCTAGTCTAGTCTTGGAGCTGGAAAAGTATCTGTACTTGTACTAGTATCTAGTATCGTACTTGGTATCTGAACATCCCTAGTATGAAACACAGTATTTGCCATTATTTATTAGAGAAAATAGCAATTTACAAATGGCAGCAATCCACAGCAACCAATCAACAACCTCCTTTCACTTGTGTGCATAAGCTACACTACTAAAGTCTGGTTGCTCTGGGTTGCCACACACCATTACAGTTGCCAGTCAAAGCTTTCTGTAGGAGTTGAAGAGGCAGAATTGTAAGATGGTAAAGCCTCTTCTAAGTTTTCATTGGTGTATTGTAAAAACCTTATTTTTTTCACTTCATGTCTTTGTGTTTGATGCAGTTTCCCCCAGTGAAGATTCTTTTGAAGATTTAACAGAGGAAAGTAAAACTCTTGCTTGGAATAATATCACTAAATTCCAGATAGACAGCGGGTACAAGATTCATAAAGAGTATGTAAATACTATATTTGTTAACTGTATTCAAAAATATCTATTTTATGTGTTATAAGTATGAATCTGTCCTGTAAATATGAACTAAAAATATTTGTATAAATATGTAAGACCATGATGAGTATTTTAACTAACTCATATGGACCCTATGTAAAGCACAGAGAGCCATCTGAAACTGAGATTATGGTATATTCACTGTAGTAAGGCTGACATTACATGTATGCATCATAGCACTATTGTGTGTATTCTCTTATGGAAAGTAGGAATAATGGAACTTGGCATCTAATATATTCTAAATCATTTCAAAAATTATATTCTTAATATTTAAAAGGCAAAATGACTTTTGTTTCCAGTTTGATTTATTATTTTAAACCACAAATATTAGATTTAATTTTGTTGGCCCCATTTATGTTGAAACTAAAATAATTTTTCCAATACAAAACATGGCAGTTATTTACAAATGAAATTTAGGATTTTTTGAAGTTTTTTTGCTTCTTTTTAACTCTTAAGCTGCAGTACGTATATAAACAAAATGACAAAACTAAAAAGGAACAGTGTAACATTTTTTTAACTGTGGAATTATAAAAAAAACAGCTTAAGATGAGAGATGAAAGAGTTAATATATTATTCAATGAAAAGGTTTATCTCTTCTACTTTTCAAGCTTGTTTTGACACCATGGAAACATAGTTTGATACATTTTATTTGGCTGGTCTTGACAGCAACAGCGAAGTACAGTGTATTCATTTTTAACTTTAGGGCCTCATTCACACACAACGCAAGAGCAAAATTGTATATTGCGTATATACGCGCGCGTATATGTGTGCACTATATGCAATCCCAGAATGCATCACTCGTAATAGAAATTTTAATATGTGTATTTGCATAAATACACAGAAATACGCTGCACGGACGCATCTTGTTCCATTCTGCTTTTGCGCATGTTTGCGCTACGCAAATATACAGCTCCATACGCTGCTATGTGTATGGAGCCATTTATTTGCATATGGGACACTACGCGCGTATATATATGCGGCAGTGTGAATGAGGCCTTACACAAGCACTAATGCTATAACAGTGCTATTGGAGGCAAAAATGCTGGTCCCCGCAGCCTCACCCAAGGGTTTGTGCTCAACAAAAAAAACACTCGAGGGCATTCAAGGTACATCCTAGTGCTTAACATTAAAGTTCAGGCACCCTCAGGATGCACTAATGGAAAAGTATATAAACCTTTTTTTACTTTTGCTTTTTTGGTAACTATGGCTGTTTGTTTTTCTAATCCAAACAGAACTATCACAGGCATTGCTGTATCTTCTAATGGATCCTCTGTTTTCACAACATCACAAGGTTAGTTATGGGTAAAAAAGGGATTCCTCCATTATTGAAGTTTACATGTTTTTGTTTATTGCCAAGTAGAAAAATGAAGGTTCCCCACCAATGACAGATTGTTTGTTTGAATCCAGGGCTAGAAATTATGATCTCAGAATTCCCTACCCCCACTGCTTGATGATTAATGAGATTGAAGCTCATCCAATCCCGTAAAATAAATAACATTAGGCTAAATTCAGGAAGCATTACCCTAGGGTAAGGATCTTTATTTTCAGCCAAGTGACTATCATATTTAAATCTCATTGGGCTTAGCTGAAAATAACTCGCTTATTTGAAAATATCCTTATCCTACTGTGTTACCTTTTGAACTGAGCCTTTAATCTGTGCAAATGCCATTATTGCTGTAGATAGGGATGCACCAAAATGAAATTTGTAGACTGAAATAAAATAAATTTGAAAAGCCAAACTCAAAACCGAAAATTACTTTTTTTTTTTTTTCCAACTTTTTAAAATTATTATTATTTTTTTTTTTTTTTTACTGTTAGTGGCTTTGGGGAAATGCCAGGGGTCTAAACAGACCCCTGATATTTCCCTTTTAAAATAGAAAAAGAGATTGAGGACACAGAGTTCTAAATCTCTTTTTCTGCAGCCCCTGTTATGAATGAACAGGAAGCCTCCATACTGAGTGCTCCTGTCCATTCATAAATTGAGGAGAAAGTATCAGTTACTATGTCCATGATCATGAATAACACAGGATGTGATGTAGAGCATTTCCTGTTCATTCATAACTGGGGACACAGTAAGGATACTATATCTTCTGTTACATTGTTCAAGACTTTCAGGTGCCCCATATTTTCTCACTTTTGGCTGGGCACCCTCTGTGTGTGGGTATACAATTTTTTTTAAAGGGTAATATACTGTAGATTAAATAAGACCTAGCCATTGAGTCACATTTGGGCTATCTTTGGGCATCCAATATATAACCACTATTTTTCTGACTTTGAAGAGTAGTTCATGTAACAGGATGCTGTTAAGGCAAGATTATTAAGTGTGGATTTAGTGCAGCAGAAGTCTGTTGAGTAGGAGAATTTTGAGGGTCTATGTGAAGTTAGGTAGGCTTGATGTATGACAAATACCTGTCTTGATGTGATCCTCCAGGCATTCCTCCCAGTCCTCTCCATCCAAACCTGGAATATCTCCTTGCCATACTTGGTTACTTGGTATGATTTATGAACATTCAGTTTAGCTTTTGAAGTAGTCAACCAGCCATACAAGTCTGCCAAGAGGTGCTTTCTGTGGTTTTCTTTCACAATGTCATCAGTGGATGATCTATAACTATTTGAGGGGTTGGAAATTGTGTTGTTTAAACATGTCTGAGTTGAAGGTATCTATTGAAACTGCTTTATGTTAGAGGTGTGGGAGAGGCCTGCAGCTGAGGAAATGTTTTAATGATCCCGTTTTCTAGATGTTGAAGAACCACAGGCCCAATATCTTCCAATGAGTAGTGTCTGGTAGTTTATTAAGTTTGGAATGGGCCAAGTTATCCCATAACTGGGTATGTTGGGTCCAGTCAGGGAAGTAATATTTCAAGGCCCAGACCCATACAGCCCTTGTGTAAAGATGGTGGAGAGACTTAACAACTGGGTTTTATGCTTAGTCTAAAACTGAGAAGAGAGTTGGACAGCAATATAATATTTATGGAGACCCAGGAGTTCAAGGCTCCCCAGAATAACAGTATTTAAAAGGGGTTACATTTTGCAGGTGTATTTGGGGACTGTGGCAGCACATATAATAATTCGGTAATGAGAACATTTGGAATAGGATGGAAATTTCCATTTTAATTAAACTCATTTGTGATAATCTATACCTGTAGAGTGTTATTTGCCCTTTTCAGATGTGTCTCTTCTATGATGAGTTGAAGTCCATGTCAACATTTGATGTATGTTAATAATGTATTTTAGATTCAACTTTAAAGATGTTCTCCACGAGCCAGAAATCTCTTCAAAGAAGTGTTTCATTTTCTAATATGGTAAGAAGGTCTCTTCCAGGGTACAATTAGGGAGTGCTAGCTTCAAGTATAGAGACTAGTTTAAAGAAAATTTAAGGTAATCTCTTTAGCATTGTCACGTTTCAGATCTTTCTTGTGCCAGCTACACAATTAAGCCTTTTGGCAGTTTCATTATTGAGATTAGTAAACTACATGTTTTCCAGCTGACAGTGTCAAGATTTTCCTAGAACATTTTGAAGTGAGCAAAATAGAAAGTGATCCCTTGATAGCAGGCTTGATGTGTATCTGGAACTACGGTGTTGGCAGATGATGGATTTACCAGAGAAAGACATCCTAACTCTTTAGGACACTAAGCTTAACATCTTTTTTAGTAAATGCAGGGGTATATCCACTAGATGGGGTTACTTACTAAAGAAAGGAGCTATACCCAAGTGTTGAAATTCTGTCCCCGATGAATGCTGGGAAAAACATAAACATGAACTCTTTTACCAAAAGATTTATCTTCAGCCAGTCTTGGGATCCAGGCATCAGTTCCACAACACAGCCAGGCCCTAGACCTCCCTGCAGGCCACAATGCATTTAAGCAAAATAGCCTGATCAAGAAGCTGTGCCAGCCTGTGACTGGACAATCAAGGGGTAGCAGTACATAGATTAAAAATGTTTCCTGCCGTCTCCCATCTTGTAGTCATGTACCTGTACACATCAAATCCCCTGTTTCATAATGCTGCCCCTGCCGCGCACAGTGCTGCCAGCAATTGGTTGTAGGAGCTAATATCAAGTCAGATCCTGATGCTTAGGCCTACTAAAATATGTTTATATCAATACATATTTGAATTAATTGAGTTTGTAAAGTAATGTTCATGTCAAACTAGTGACCACTCCTGAATGAGAGAATAACTAGAGGGGAAAAAAAAACCCCAAACTCTTCCCCATTTTCATGGTATTGCTCCCTTGTTGGCCAGAATAGTGAGCTGCCACTCCCTTGCAGGCCAGGGAGATGCTACAGTATTTTAGTAGGTGAGGTGGTATGGCCATAGCAGGTCATAAGTGTGGGGGGGTTCCCTCTCTAGCTAGGGCAACTCACTTGCAATTACATGGATGGCTAGTGTGACACAGATGGCTTCGTCAGCAGAGAGATTTGAAAGTTGCTATGTGAAAATGTATAGTTCGGTGCCATTAACATCTGACATTTTGTCTAGCCATCTCAACCAACTCTTGATTGCAGAAACGACCAAATGGATCAAGGCAACTTAACATGACAGTTTCTATTAAAACTAAATGGATTGAAACTGTTGCTGGTAGGTTGACTTGTTTTGCAACTGAAAATTTGGCAGAAAGTGGTGGAAATTTCTGGAAAAGAACCTTTATGGCCAACATTAGTGCCATAGAGGAAGAAACAGAACCACTGAAGGAAGTGAGCTATGCTAATGTAGTATTATTAAGGCACAAGAAGCTTTAGAGACATAATGAAAATATATCATAATCTGTATTAAAAGCAGAAAGATATCAGTGGCATTCGTGGGGAATATTATGTTGCCTTGTAGCAGTAGTTAAGCAAATATATAGTGAAATATTTAATAATTTTACATTTCCTGTACATTTTTCCACAGGCATTGTCATCTTGCATTATCTTGCCAGGTGACACAACAGTGATGTGCTCCTCCTGGGATAATAATGTGTGCGTATTAACTCAATTCCTTTTTCTAAGATCTAACAGTCTGTTATTTATCAATTTAGCAGACATACAACCATACTATTACACATAGATGAGTCGCATACAGTTTGTAGGACATGGCATCAATAAACAGTTAGACCTTTAACAACGAATTATGGGACTTTTGAAGTTAATTGGTTGGGGTTATGGGTGTCATAGTAAAGGGGGGTAGATACTTATGCTCACTTTCTTTTGGTCTAAATTAATGTTTGTGTCACAGTAACAATTATTTTGCACCTACAAAGTGGTAGGCATGTTGTGTACGTGGTAAAACCCCCCAAAAAGAAGCTGGAGCCGACAACAGTATTTTGTAACACAATATTGGATTCAGTAAAATAGCAAACATTGATGCCTATATGTGGGTCATTTTCAAGCTATTTCAGATTACTGTGTTGTCTTCTCATTGTATCTGATAGAATGTTGCAATCATGTAATTTGTTTGGGCTAAACACAGATCCGGTAAGGATTAGATGCACCAGATGGTAAGCAGCAAGAAATAATAAGAAATACAGTGAAAGTTACAATCATTTTGGTTCTAAGGTTTCCTGTCCGAGTTCCTTCAAACACACACAGGTTGTTAGGCATGAAAATCGGTAGTGTAACTTGTGGGTGATACGCGTTTGTTTCTCCATATGAATGTACTAAATGTGCTAAACTTGTCCTTTTTTTTCAGGTATTTTTATTCTATAGCATTTGGGAGGAGACAAGACACTTTAATGGGACATGATGATGCTGTTAGCAAAATCCACTGGTGTAACAACAGGCTGTTCTCAGCATCCTGGGATTCTACAGTAAAGGTGCATATCAGTTGTCATATTTAAAGTGAGTGATATTAGCCTAATAGTATACTGAGCTTTTGAGGATCCGATCTAGTCCTATATAGATAAAAAAATCTAATGTGAGCCATCTGGTTTTATTGCCACTGGACTGTCTTAAAGGGTCATTAAACCCGAGCTTTTTTTGCATATATCTACTGGTAGCTAACAATAGATATATGCAAAAACATTTAAAAAAAAAACTTTAAAAAAGGGTTTAAACTTACCTGTGTCTTCGCCACACGCTCCCATCAGAACATCTGAAGAGTCTCGGGCAGCCGCAAAGGATCTTGGAGCGGGCGCATGCGCAGTTCAGATGTTCAGCCGGGAGACGAGGAGAGACACAAGGTAAGTCTATGGAGCAGCGTGCACCTGCACAGGCTTTGTGGGGCGTCTGAGGAGGACAGAGGATTCAGTGCTGGATCAGAGACCCGCACCAGCGCTGAAAGGACAGCTGAAAAGGACAGTAAGAAAATGATCGAAGCAAGAGGCATCATTTAAGGTAAGTCCCTATAGCAGGATTGGGAAGGGGCAAAAAAAAGTTTGACTTTAATGTCACTATAAGCTGGCCACACACCTATAGATTATCTGCAGACTTTCTATCGTCAATTGGAAAAAGTGCAACCATCTACGCTAAACTGTGTGGATGGAGGAATCTCCCACTGGGCCAAGCTTCAGTATCTTGCCAGTTGGCCCCTCTGGCTCACAAAATACCTGAATAATCTGATTGGATACAGGCATTGTTCAGGTGTTTTGAGAGCCAGCGGGGCCGACTAGCAAGATACTGAAGCTTGGCCCTGCGGGAGATTTCTCCATCCACACAGTTTAGCGTAGTTGTAGGAATCTGTTGCACTTGTTCCATCTGACCATAGAAAGTCTGCAGATTATCTATAGGTCTATGGCCCACTTTAGGTGAACCCATAGGTTTACTTTAAATAAGTAAGAGCTTTTTATTAAATTAGTTCTAAAGACCTCATGCAATTTGTTACTTTTTGCAAGTACAATTTAAAATTCCCAAATTTTAAATGCAGCTTGGTTTTTAGACTTTTCTATAAAGTTGTAAGGCTGGGCATACACCTATCAATTTCTTTTCGTTCGACCTGCAGGCTGAATGAAAAAGATTTATGCGATTCCTCCATCAACACAAACTGTGTCAATCGAGAAATCGCCGCTGTTTGCATTGTATTCTGATAGGTGCTGCCGCCACCTGTCATAATACCCGATCAGAGCAGGCAGCTCACTGGCTCCTGGCTCTGATCATATGAAGAGTTTCCAGCAGGCTCCCTTGACCACCCGATCGAGGAATGCAGGCTGAAAGAGAGCCAAGAGCCTCACACACTGTGTGAAGTTTGGCCGGTACATTAAAAACTGGCTGAAATTCGGCCAGTGTATGGACATCTTTAGACTTATTTCATATGGTACTAAATACTTTGCTACTTTTCTTTATTTCTGATTACAATCCTTTTAAGCAGCAAGGATAGTACAAAAAAGTTCACATATCCTTTAAAGTAAACCTGCACTTTGCTAATGCTGGACAAAACAACAGATGCATTTAACTGCTGCCTGTTCCAGCTATTCATCCTCGGCTCCTTTTGCTACTGCCGATGTGTTCAGCCACAGGGAATAAAGAGATATATTTGATACTTTTTAGGTATAGGTATCATGTGACCCATTCTGCTGCTCTGTTCAGCTATTGGTAGCGAGGAGAAGAAGCTCTGTGCAGCTTTCATGTTGGAACTTGGAGTTTACAAAAGGCTGAACATACTGTTGTCACTGTGACGTCTTTGGTGAGTGAAGAGAAACCCATCAGTACTGTGTACGCTCCAAGGTGTGACTCGAGGCTTTAACAGGGCTTCTTTTTCTCCCTCCCACAGGTGAAAGCAGAAGGGACATATAGGGAAGGGAAGTATATCAAGGTGGAGTGGGTGGTTAAAGTGTATTTCCACTTTTGCAATCGTATTTGAGAAAAAAAAACCCTCTGTATGTGTGTAATGTGTTCCCATTCACACAGCATACCTCAAAGCATTTTAAAATATTTCTTACTTATAACAAATATAAAGTAGATGTTATCCCGATTTGGAAATTAACCTTAAGTGAATCTGCTGCTTTGTCCTGCATGTACAAAGAATAGATTCACTTTACGCTTCAGTGTTCTTGTATTCATTGAAACCTCCGCTAATCATGATTTATTCATGATGTGATGAAAAAATGTTGAAATTGAGTGAGTTTTAGTGTTCACTAAGTAAAAGAATTAGCATGCTAGGTGCTTCAAACAGTTTTGCATACTGTAATGGATGAATAGAGACTTAACACAGTTTTGCTTGGATGTTTGATTGTTTCAAAGGGAAGCATTAAAAGCCTGTAACCTAATATAACTTATGACAGGTCTTTTGATCTGTTACATTGTAACCAATCTTTTGGCAGCAGAGGGTGTTCAAAGGCCTTTTCTCCTCGTCCCATCCTGCAGGTGTGGAGCTGTGTGCCTTCCGATGTGTGCGGAACCAAGAGAAACAACTTTCAACTGCTGGCTGAATTAGAACATGACGCTGGTGTGAGTGTTTTAATTGCCTGTATGTCATGTATTAGAAGGAATATCACAGCATGTAGTGTTACATATTTTATTAGGGATGGCATAAATGGACTCAGATTTTTAACCTTATAAAGAATCAAATATTAAAGTGACACTAAAGTTAAGAGTTTAATTTTAAAAATGCATTCCAGTACCTTACTAATAACAAAAAGGTACCTTATTTGTGTATCACTCGGCTGTAGATCCTCAAATCATCTCTGAATTGGTGCCGACACTGTCCTTCCTTCTGGAGGGTGGCTACTTTTGTTCCCCATGGTCCCTGTGTGTATTGTAAAGTAGTCACCACTTTAAGCTCACTCCCGTCATGGACTTCAATCTCAGTACAAATTAGTAAACTAAACATGAGATTGTAGTCCATCACGGGAGTGAGCTTGGAGCGGTGGCTACTTTACAACGCACACATGGACCATGGGGAACCAAAGTAGCTACCCTCGAGAAGGAAGGAAAGTGTCCGCACCAATTTAGAGATGATTTATGTGAGTAATGTACAAATGAGGTCCAGTATTTTTGATAGTTCAGCTACTTGAATGCATTATTAGGATTTAACTACCGATTTTAGTGTACCTTTAAGTTATATGGCGTAAATGACAAGTTTAATTTGCACAAATTCACTACACTTGAAGAGATTCTTTCTTAAAGAGAACCCATAGTGAAGAATAAATGGAGGCTTCCATTACATAGTTACATAGTTAGTCAGGTTCAAAAAAGTCCAACCTCCAATTGCTGGCCTCCTTCTGTAATTTACCTTTTGTCTAGCTGCCTGTGGGTTCAATACTTTAAGTGACCCTGGAAAAGTATGCAGCCATTAAAGTAGCAACTCTTGAACGAAACTTTTTTTTCAGGCCTGTAACTTGAATGCTATTAGATGTAAAGGACCGGTCGCTGAGCTATTTTTTTTTTCAGAAAGAGAGATCAGCAATGTAAGCCGTCTTCTATCCAAGCACACATTTATTTATAGGGAAATCTATAGACGATATTCTAATCGAGTATATTGTACAATTCAAACTGGTAAGCTCTGTGCAAATCTTTCTATGAGCTAAGGTTTTAAAAAGCCTAATTGTATATGTATATTGAGGCTTCCTTATTTGCTCAATATACAGGCTCTACTTTCTAGTGCTAGGTTGTAGCTACTGATGGTTTGTCCTTACTCTAAAATAAGTGATTATCATCAAACAAGCAGGGTGACCAGTGGAGCAGCTCATAATGTGGGCCATCGACTGTTCATATGTTCCAGACACCGTAGTTGTTGTCAGCGTGCTCCAGTATTACCATGTGTGGTCCTCAGATAACCTCTAGAGCTTGGCTGCACTTCATCATAATTTGATATGAATGAATGCCTCTTAAAAGCATTTTTGATGTATTAATATTGATTTCAAATACACTATATATGCTGTTGAGAAATCAATTTCCATATACAGAAAAAGTAAATTCATTACTCATTCATTTTGCATGTAAAAGAGTTATGAATCTGACCAACATTACAAAGGCAAAATCTTTTGTGTCTATTATACACTATTCTATCACAGCTGGCACTTCTTTATACCCTCTCTCACAAATGTAACTTTTAAAATAGGTAAATATTAAAGCAGAACTCTGTGTAAATCTTTTATTAACCCTTGCAGTAGAGCTGCAAGGGTTAAGTGCTCATTTTGGTGTAGGGCTGAAAATAACGGTTATACTCACCCGATCCTACGAGCCAGCTGGCTGTGTCAGGGGTCCCTGCAGCCTGTCCCCTCCTCCGCTGCAACAATGGAATGTGTCTCGACATCCTCATGTTCTATACACTGTGTAAAGAACGTGACCTTTAGACCGCTGCAAGAAGAGACGCTCCGGGGACTGGTCTGAGAGCAAGTCGGGTGAGTATAACTTTTTTTTTATTTTCAGCCCTAGACCACTGCAAGGTTTAATGAAAAAAAGTTACCCAGAGCTCTTCACTAATGCAGTATATGCATTTAAAATGCTTTCACTTATAAAAACGAATTGTACCATCAAATCGTCATCTAAAATCTGGTCAGATGATCCCACTGGTCTGCTTCCAATTTTAAAGACGCAGGATATAACGAGGGGTCCCTGCAGAGGCTGAAGCTGATAACATTATCTAGCCACATGGAGATTTTTTTGTTGTCTTTTTGAAAAACACAGAAATGACAAAGGTACATTTTATGCTAATCAGCCTTTTGGGTGGGGGG